TAAGGAGATATCGAAGGACTACAGTAAATTAAGTAATTTTTACTGATACTGAACCGGCACAGCACTGATGCGGGTAAAAAGATTATTATAATGCATATGCAAGGTATCCTTAAGGTCTAATCAACCAATACCTATAGATATTCCTTTGAGAACCATATTAAGCGACGTGACATTTATAGAAGATATACACATTCGTTGTTGTTATAGTGGCTACATAAACCCCGCCCAGATCGGCTAGTCTCTCAGTATTCAAACTCAACAAACGGGACACCCAAGAAGCGGGCAGTCTCTTTAGGGTCTGTCCATAGGGACAGAGGCGTCAGTTGAGTGGGGCTTTGTGGGCATGCGAAGAGATGTTTCGAGTCGTGGGGTGTCTCTCCGCATGCCGGACACTCAGGATCAGGTATGAGTTATTGTGGTCCGAGTCTCCCGAGACAGACGAAGCTCCGTCTGGTCCACGTTAGGTGGTTGTGTGCAGAGAACGGCATTCACAGGTCTGGAGTCTACGTAACTTGAAACCGACTCCCAGTGTATGTGGCTCTAGGCCTGTCGATATGCTGTCGGGTCCAGGGGTTGCTTTATGTGCCTCTGGACTTTGTACGTCAGTTCGTATAGATGCCTTCTGACATGCCTTGACTCCCTACTAAGAATTGCTTGCAGAGCATTGTGTTGTGCCTTGCGCCTCGTCATGCAGGTGATGTTGTGGCGACATCAGAAGACATCCGGTCACAGTCCGGAGTTCTGTATTTTGTCGTCCTACTGGTCACCGGCGAACACACTGGCGTTGCGTAATTTAGAACCGGCCTTGTATGTTGCCAGCAACGTTTCTTTGTCGAGCACAAGACATCAATTCCATTCTCAGACGCCATTATCGAACAATCTGCGGGGTAAGAGACAATCGAGAACATACAAGAGTAGTCATCACGTTTGTTATTTTCTTTTACTCTAAAATACAGAAAAAAAGAAAATATGGTACGGCCATGAGTAAGTACATATATTTAATACCTAAACAGGTAAATTTTTAACATGAATGTGTTAACATGTAAAACTTAGTGTTATTTCATGTTCTTGGTGGCCGCTGTTATGTAGTGGTAACCTGTAAGCGCTACCACTACGCAGGGCCTGAGTTCGAGTCTAATTTCAGCCAATCCTGTAAGGTTTTCCTTTATTAAAGATTGTTTTAAGTCAAATTATGAACACCATTACAACCAATTCATTTTTAATCAGAAGCAATCGTTGTTGACTTAATTTTGAATTGAAATCTGGTAACGGACGTGACATATCGGACGTGACAGATTTTTCTCCCATACAATATTTTTACTAGTAACACATACCTAGTAATTTCAATTTTTTATTTCATTTTTCAGTTGTCCACCGTTTCGCGTTTTCAAAACCTTTTTAAACCCAGTAGCTGAAGTTGGTCGACAGGTCGATGCCAAAAATTTGAAATACGCTTGTGCCTTGCAAACATAAGCAGTGTTTCCAAGAATATCACACAAAGTAGTATTACAAAAAACAGTTTATATGGACTAATTTTGTTATATACATACATATTTCTTTTTTTTTGTTTTTTATATTAAATTCAATTTAATTTTCTAATATACGCAATTGTGATAGGCCCTTTTCAGAGTGTTTCAATTTTAATTGTATTTATTTATTTATTTATTTTTTTAATAAAATTACTTAATGTCGTACAAAAAAGAAATAAATCAAAACTCTTTATATCAAAATTATGGCTTAAAATGCGGTTGGTTCTCAAAGGAATATATTTAGCGTATTGAAAACTAAACAGCCAGAAAATTTAAAAGCCTGTACATAAGTCATTGGGGGTATTATTAAAAAAATGTATTCTTTTCCCCAAGACTATGATGATTAAGTGAAAAATAATAACTTCATAACCAACTTGTAGAAGAAATTACATTAAGGTCACTCCATTTGACTTAATCAACCATCGATATTGGTACCTTTTCAACGTTCTGCATTTTAGCGATTAAAGGTGAAATTAGTAAAGAACGTAAACCCACCGGTACGTAAACCCGAGTCAGCTGACACGATCTGTCTTACAAGAGCGCCATGTAAATGAAAACTTAACACCGCAGAATTTTTCTGTAGTTGTAGCCCGTAGCGCAGACATCTGCGGAATTTAGATTTTTCCGTGTCAGCTGATTTCTTCCTTCTATAGATGGTTGCCACTTCGCCAGCTTTGCAGATGGTATATTCAAAATATGTTTAAAATATTTGAAACTTGCTATCAAATAAGGTTTTTTGTGGAAAAATATGTAGTTTATATTTAGCTAGAATCTAATATAGCACGAAAAATTTTAATTGAAAAGGTAAGTTTATGAAAAGGCATTCTGCGTATACAGACTGCGTTTAGTTAAAAGTTCTGCGGTCTTGACTAATTTCACCTTAAGTCAATACGTTGAAAATTTGATAGGCGTTGAGTGGCTGAATTGTTTAATGTGGACTTCTTATATAATTCGCTATCAGAAGTTTAACTTAGGTCTGAACATCTAACCTCATTTTTTTACAAAAACTTTATTATTATGGAGGGACACTAACTAATAAAAATAAAAATCTTTAGTTATGGCAGTCAAACATCTATATAAAATAGCTAGTAGTAAAGGAGAAAGATGTATTATTTTAATTAATGCATATAAACACTATTTTCTCTGTTTAATCTAGAACTTACAGGCAAGCATAATAGCTTAATTTACAGGTTAAAAATAGATTTCGTTTTTATAAAGATTTGTACATATTTAATAAAGCTTAAATTAGTTTTTATTTTATGCGGTCTATCAAATTTATGACATGAACCAGTTTTCAATAAAGTTGCACCAGCGTTACAGTGCAATTCAATTGCTAGAATTAAAGAATAGACTTAAATGTATGAAAAAGGAATAGGTTAGACGTTGGATTAAAGCAAATAAAATAAAAATTAACGATATTAACTAATTTTGTTCAAACAAATTATCTAATATACAAAAAAGGAGTTTCGTAAGCAAAAGTAATATTTTCATAATGCATTAAAACACTAAAAAATACGTACATACATACATATACGTATGTAAATGCTATAGCAAGTTATACAGAATACAAAATTTCTCTTACATACTTTACACGAAATAGCGGCATTTATAAAATGTTTAAAATCCACACCATAAGTACATACGTATTACCTTTGTACGCAAAAAACAAATATAATCATACATTATACATATACATATATATTTTAATACTCAAAAGTATAACATTTTTAAGTATTACTTCAATCAATCTTTGCAATTGAAAAATAATCTATTACCTCACTGCCACTTGAAGACCCATCCGAATCGCTACCGTCCATATAGAGCATATTTGTGCGCCGATTTCGTAGGCGCCGAGACATATTTTTCTGAACGTCATCCGACTCATCAGAGTCTGCATTTTTAGTGCACTTTGCTGTTCTATGTGTTCGTCGTGCTCTCGAAGAACATGAGGCTGAGTTGTTGGCAATGTTCATATTTTCTACTTTACCATCATCGCTAGATGCTTCCGAAGGTGAAGAACAACTATCTTCATCACTATCATCGAATTCGATGCGCATGACGATTCGACGTTTTCTGCCCTTTCTGCTTTCAGTGCAATTACCACCGCCATGATTGGCATTTCCTCGGGTGGCGCGTCGATTTTTGCTGCACGAAGGACGTGGCTCAATATCACTATCACCAGAATCGTCAGCCATTCTAAATTATTGTAATATACAATACAATTGGTATGTACATATATGTATGTATATGGAATTTGCAAACTACATAGGTATGCCCTTTTTCCGAGTTCTATTCAGTTTTTTTTTTTTTGTCTATAGTTAACACGAATAAGTGCAAAAAAGTTGAGACCGTGGTACACGTTTTTGGTGGTACCAGCGGCACTTCACAAATTTTAATTGAAATATCAAAAATTTAGTTGGAAAATATCGTAAGTTTTAAAATTATATTTTCATCAACGAATGAAACCTCTATTGAATAATACTTTTTCACTGCGACTTGGTGACTGTAGCCTGAATATTCTTTACAATTCGTATACGTTCTAGGTGGGTGTGAAAAAATATGCACTTTTCCAAACGCTTCTTACGTTTGCCTTAAATCAAATCTTTAACACTTTTTAGTTTCACAAGTTGTTTTGGAAGTTGCTGAACGTTTTTCTTAATATTTTGAAAATTTTACACTAGCTTTTCCTCAAATATTTTAAATTTTTCTCTAATGCGTTTTCTTTTTCACACAAACTCAGCCATTTTCAATTTTCATCAGCGAACTCCCTGCATTTGTGTTGCGTGGTGTGTCAGTTCGTTGTATACATATACGAAAATATGCCGATATTTCGGAAGTGTGTGAATTGGAGAGAAATTTTGGAGGAAATGCATTGTTTCCCATTGTTGGTACTACTGAGTTGATGACCATTGCAGGGTTGCAATTGATTTTTTACGTTCTCCGAGCGAAGTGAATTCGATGATAAAAACATAACAGATAAATTCATTATTTCAATTCGCCGGCCATAACTGTTTTTCTGGCGTTTGCAAGCATTATATAGAATTGAAAACAAAAAAAAATTAAATTGTTCACAATTGTTTGAGATTTAAAATGAGAATGTGTATGTGTTTGAGTTTTGAATTTTTAAATTATATTGCTGGCAAATGTCAGACTGCCTCTCAATGGTTTTACCGAAGAACGTTCTTTGGTCCTACCAAAGAAGGTAAATTTATAAGGGACAACTCGTTACTAGGAAAATGGGCCGCGACGATTTTGACCGTATCTGAAACGTTTGCAACACGAACAGATTTACGTTCTTTGGCTTCACCTTTGACGGTTGTCCCCATGATACAAATAAATAAATATTTGTATCCTGGTTGTCCCTTCTTGTAAATTTACCTTCATTGGTGCTAAGTGCTAACGGCGATGGGATAATTTATTTTTCAAGACCTTCTGTAGTGTTCCTCCTTTTTGACATTTGTTCGTTAGTTAAATGTTGGCAGCAGTGCGGTAGACATTGTGTGTTAAGTCTCCACTTCCGTTCCGTTCTTTTTGGTGTAGAATAAAATCTGTAAAGATGGGTCGTATGCACGCTCCTGGGTAAAATTCTATTTTCTCGAATTTCTGTGCGATTTTTGGAAAAGTCTGCTTTTCTGCAAGCACTCCACAACATTGTACAGTGTATTTTGTGGATGAAATTGTTTGAAAAGCCCTTTGCATCATCTCAATCTAACTATTGGTGTGCCCATGTGGCGTACATAGCCGTGCATTATTTTGATACCTGGTTTTTAATAAAGTTATGCTAATTATACTATTTTTATCTTTAAACATGCCTCAACGACTTTTATCAACTACATATAATCGTGCTTCGGCAGTAAGGGTATTTCCCAATCAGCGCTTCCCTACAGGCGAACAGTGCCATCATGGCTGAAATTGAATGCCGAAGATGTGAGAGAACACATCAAGAAATTGGGCAAGAAGGGTATGACTCCGTCTAAAATTGGTTAGTATGAGGTTATACAATGGTGTTGAATGTTATCAAATAACTTCCTTTTCTATACATAGGTATTATTCTTCGTGATTCGCACGGTGTTGCGCAGGTGCGCTTTGTCAATGGCAATAAGATTCTGCGTATCATGAAATCCGTTGGCTTGAAACCCGACATCCCCGAGGATTTATACCATATGATCAAGAAGGCTGTTGCCATCCGCAAGCATTTGGAGCGTAATCGTAAAGATAAGGATGGTAAATTCCGCTTGATTCTGGTTGAATCCAGAATCCACAGATTGGCACGCTACTATAAGACAAAGAGCGTTCTGCCACCCAACTGGAAATACGAATCCAGCACCGCCTCCGCATTAGTTGCTTAGAGCATACCACGGGAATTTCGTAGGGATGTCTTTTGTTTTTTATATTTAAAAAGATCATAAAGCGTGAAATAAAAAAATGTAAAATAATACTAACATTGTGCGGTGTTTCTCTGAAGAGAAGCAATCGAGTTGGCTTTAGAGTTTAAACTGGCTTTAAAATGGGTACTAATGAAAAAATAAGTCTATTAAATCTTTGAAGGCTCAATCACTACGTTTGAGAGCAGGTCTGAAATAGCGAGGAATAAAAGGCTTATTTCTACTCGACTGGTGGAACAGGCAGTTTTAAGGACCAGTGCTTCGTAATCATTTGTTACTGAAAATTGTGAAGATAGCAGTTTCTTAAAAGAAAAAACCAAACAAGGCACTTATTTAAAATGCAAGGGTAAAGAAAAAAGTTGTCTGTACTTTTGACGAGACTCACTTACCTTTGTGCACTAGTTTGACGCGCTGAATCCGAATCGGCGTTGGTTTTGACCTAACATCCTAACATTTTTAATTTAATTTTTACTTATCTGATACTTGTGTTCTTTATATTAGTTATATTGGCTCGAGTTTCAAATTTCCATGTAAAATGTTTAAATTGAAGTTTCAAGAGTGGATTTTTGTCGCTTTTCCCATTTAAAGGGACCGCTAGTATTTTAGTTGCATGTAAATAAAAAATGCAAAGCTAATGCAAAGAAATTCCGTTTTTACTCCGATTTTGCGAGTGATTTAGTACTGATTCGAGTCTCATGAGTCCGAGCACAGATTTCTTGCTTCTTCGCAGAATCAAATTCTTGCTTATTCTCATTGCCTATTTATAGGCGAAGGAAATCGATCATAAGAAATTGTAGAACGATCGTGAGGGGGAAATGTTCACTGGTCCGTTTGACTTCCTCCCCGACTAATTGACCTTTTTTACAATGTATTTCCTCATATGCTTATGCTCTGTTTCTCATATCCTCTTTTAAAATACAAACAGCTGGAAGAATGGGTTAACTCAAAAAATAAAAACGATAAAACCGGCTGCAAGGTTTTTAGTAGGAACGGATGCTTTAAGGCCTACCGCCATCGCTTTGGACATGAAAGCAATCCATATTGCAACTACTGTTATTCTCCTTTCATGCCACCGATTCAGCACTCGAGAGAGGAAAATCCAACGAACGTCTCGGCAGCTTAGCTATACCCGAAACACTAGTCCTGCTGGCATTGCAGAACCAACACGCTTTGGAAGGAATTTAAGGCCACTTCTGCCCTTGTTATACACCAACTCCGCAACAGGCGTTATTCAAGCTCAAACCGCCTACCGACGAAATATTTAACGATGGTACTGGAGGGCTCGGTACATAGACGGTAGGAGGTTTAGTGGGTTAAAGTCCCACACTGACAGTTTTTTGGAATTAGGCTTTCGATGCTTTCAGGACTGCTCTAAAAACGTTAAGAAATTTCGTGTTGTTGAGGAAATAATTTGGAATTACGGCATATAGAAGTAAACACAAATAATAAAAAAGGCAAGTAATCAATTTGCACAAATGATTTTTTTTTTCACGCTAATGCTCATCTCGAATCACTGTGCATTGGATCACACTTGCGCTAATGCTGTTTCCGCTGATGGAACTACCGGCAATGGGGCTGCTTCGTTTTCGGTTTGGCAAGTAAATTCTCTTTTAGTATTCTCTGTGTGCGGCTGCCGGCAACATGTGCGCGCGGTAAAATTTTGAAAAACGGCTAAAATAAGAATAGCAAAATACATACGTACATACACACATGTGTACATACTAAATATGTGTGTTTCAGATAGCTTGTGTTTTATTAAGAAAATATTTAGACAAAACTATCATTACATATTTACAAAAGTGCTTATGTATTTAGAATAATTTTCGCAATGAATTGTATCAAAGCATTTTGGCGCAGGGAAACGGAAGTGTGAAATTAGTGTAACTTTTGACAGTTATTGATGTATGCTGAAGTAAATAAAGAACAACTAATGCGAGCGAATAACGGCCACGCTTCAACTAATTATATATATACATACATACATACTTAACTTTTTCTTTTGTAGCCATACATATGTACATTGTACATACATATGTACTTACACATAAAGCAATACTCGTAGGAGTACATAACAGTTGCCGGGTCGGTTGCCAAAAGTAGCAATTTCCACTGTGCCGTCAGTGGTTCTCGGTGTTTGCCTGCAGTGAGTGTCTTCTAAATATTTCGCTGAGTGCGTGCAATTCAGTTCATACGTATGTATGTGTGTGTGTGTATGCGTGTGTTAGTCAATGTGACGTGCAAATATGACAAAACCATTTTTGTATTTGCAGAAAATTGGCAAAGTTCAATAAAAGGATTCATTGTATAACTAGTAGAAGAAAAAGTGAATGAGCAACGCGAAACCATAAAAAAGCAGAAAGAAGAAAAAAAAAATTCCTAAAATTAGAGTAAGACTAAATAATCAAGGAATTTTGGTATGAGACTAATTAGAATTAGTTGAACTGCGGGCGGTTGTTGCAATGTACATATGTACATACATACTTACATATATATGTACATAGATATGTATGTGCCTACATTCATACTACATACATATTGTACATATTTAGTTAATACTACAATTTGTGCACTTGTTGTTTTGGTGATGTGATTTTCTTTTGCGGAAAATTGTGGTCAGTTGCTACATACATATATATATATGTAATTTGCTAAGCCATTACGGCCACAATGACGTTGTGCAAGTCCGTAGTAATTTTCGATTTTACAATAATATGTATTTATGTTCAAAGCAAAGAATTGGTGTTAATGGAAAATGGCAATCGTCAATTGGCATTTGCTTATTGACCGATTGGCCGGAATACTAGCATCGCATCGAATCGAATCGAATAAGAAATAATTGATTCAACTGTGCTCGCGCCATCAGAAAGAAACGTGCTCCATTGAAGCGTAACAGCGGCTGCCATTATTGTGTTTGCAATGGCCATTATGGGGCAAACGTAATAAGTAGAAACATTGAAGATAATTTTATGATTTTTGCCCAAGTATGTATAATTTTGGACATACATTTTAAAGTCACAAATATTTATTTATTTATAATAAATATGTACATACATACATATATATGTATATATACAAAAGTGCATATGTATGTATGTACAAACATTGGTGACTTCTTGGTTAGAATAGCAATCCAGCCAACTTAAACATGGCGCTCACTATAGCCAGGTAACGAAAAAGGTTCCCGGCTGAATTATGCGGCGCAGTGAGCTAAAAGAACACGACATATAATAGCAATTTATGTACATTCATGCATACATACATATGTATGTATCTACGTACATAATCATTAGAAACCCGCAACGAAAGCAACAGTTTAACTAATTCCGAAATCATTTTTTATACACACACATGTTATGGATATGTACATACATATGTACATACATACAAACATACGTATCCATATAGCACTTCTCTAATTTAAGGGAATACATACGTACATGTGTACATATGAAAGAGTGTTGTTTGCAAAGAAAATATACAGCAACAAATTAAATACTTGAATAAATAAATAAATATATAAAAAAAAAACACATGCCTGCTTATAACGCTCTTACACGATATGTATTTGCATATGTAAATGCTACATTTCTGGTGCGTTCTAATATATGTACATATGTACGAGTAGATACTAAAAAGTAGCATTTACGTATGTAAATACATACGTATCGTGTAAGAGCGCTGTTACGTGCAATATAGTGCATATCGTCACCTGAAATACAAAAAGACGTAACCACATCGTAAATGAAATGGAAAAAGTCGTGACTAATATTTAAATTTTTCTTTTAATAAAATTATGTAACTCGATGAAATCCATCATATAAATCAAAAAGTAAATTTTTGAATTTTTTATTAGTTATGACTTTTTTCATTTCAACGATGGCGTTTGTTACGTTTTTTGCATTTCAGGCGACGTTATGCACATATGTATGTATGTATTTATGTTAGTGCAAATTAATTGGAAAATTGTTTGCTTTAGAAAAAAGTGCAGAAAAGTGAATTGTGCGTAATTGAATCGAAGTGAGAAGGAGCAGCATCATAGTGCATGCGTTTGTCAACAAAAGAACGAAGTGCAGGAAGAGTGAACTAAACTGAACAACTTGAAGCAGAAATATAACATAAAAAA